CGATCCCAATACGAAGTTCGCGAACATCAGGGATATCCATCGGGCTCAAATCGAAGCGGGTGAAAAGGAGGTTATCACGGCTGAATCCAGCGACTCTGAATGCCCTAGTGAGGCTGGCAGCTGTATTGTAGTGGGTGTGGTTGAGGATCAATAGTTAATAGTAATGAGGAGGTTGGGTTGTGATCCCATCGTTTTTGTGGTGCCAGAAACAAGGGGGGTGCCAGGAAGTGGGTATGTTGACTTACCGATAAGTGGAGCACACCCATTTGGAAACCAGTCCACCTTCCTTGTCCTGGCACGGCCCTGGACGATGACCCAGATAATCAGTTGCTTACTTAGGTTTACGACTAGTAAAACTGTCGAGTTACGCCTAGTATAATAATACCTTGACCCCGGCGATAGATTTATTCAGTACTGGGTGGATTGGTTGTGGGATACATTAGGCTAAATAGGGAGCTACGAGCCAGGGGTTGTCCAGAGGCCGAAAGACCAGATGAACTACTATGTGCGAATGCCTCCATAGGATTTCAAATCAAGCTTTCTTTCCGGATTTCTCTACCTGTAATCGGATATTAAGCCAAGTCAAAAACCCCCGACGGCCGAATTGGCGGTGACACTCTCCGCGCCACTATGTATGGTCTTGCCGACGACTGTGGGTTACGGAAGTCGGCCTGTGCACGCATTATGATCGTGAATCGTGAGTTTACTGCCTTGACTTCCGAATTAGGCATCAAGGCGCAGAGTCTCGAGCATGAGCCTTTCCTGTTAAGAATTAGTGGGTTGTCATCATGGCTAAGTACAGAGTTTTGGAAGTACTCGTCTCATATCTATCATCTGCTTGATCACCGCGGGCAGGTGAAGTTAATGTTATGACCGCCAGTTGGCAGCATGAGAGCACACATCAGGTGTGTCGCATGGGCTATCGAGCACCAGCTACGTCAACAGCTACGGAGGTGGCCTTTGCACGGTAGTCAGAGTCTCGAGCAGGCAGATTCTACCTAGCTTAAGAGCTCTGCCCTACTACACTGGCTGGCGACGGGCTTTGCTAATGAATTCTGTCCCCTGTACCAGTTGCCAGTCGGCATGTTCACCTCGAAGACTAAGAGACAATAGCTTTAGTCTAGTTTCCAATAAGAATTTGGGAAAGTCGCCGGTGTATGTAAGAGTTGTATATCTTAGTTCAGAATTTAGGCTTAGCGCGTTCTTACAACATTCACCCTGAGTTCTAGAGCGCCGTCTAGGTAATCATTGAATAGGCCCCGCTGCACTGGGAATTGGCGGATCTAGTTTAGCCTCAGCTGGATTCGAGCCAAGGTCGCGTGATCTTTGACTTCATGTACCATGTTGTAAGTCATGGAATTTGGCCCATGGTTGTCAGGGGCTTGCACGGTGATTTCTATGTGTCCTATGACACGATTCTGATATTTAAGACGTCTTTCTTCCAGGCCAATATTGATTTTTCCATTTTACATCAGGCACTTACAACTCATCAGTCTTTCTTTGACCACTACTTATTCAGTCACTCTCTACTCGTCCGTCATTTCATCACCGTTCAGAACCGCTCAGCACAGCTTGAAGGGTAGATTGCCCCCTTAAATTCCTTGCCCTCAAGCTCTATTGCTTAAGGTAGCTAGACTAACGTTTGTATAGCAAGCCTCACGTCAGACATTCAAGATGCGTTACACCACTGCTCTCATTGCTGCTCTGCAGGTCGCTAGCTTCGTCCAGGCCAGCCCTATTCTCTCTGACAGAGACATCGCTGCGCCTGTCGATAGCCAGGCTCTCGACGTTCGCAGTCCTGGAGACATCGCCAACCTCGACGCCGACAAGATCGTCGACCTCGAGGTCCGTGGCATCGAGAAGCGTGCCACCGATATCACTCTCTCTGCGGACACCGGCTACTATTAGCGTGTTGCCTACAAGGGCGCCGTCATCTTGCTTCACCTCTTCTACGACCTGGCTGTCAACCACGTCGTCTTCTACTGGACCATTGACGGCACGACCCCGGCTCCCGGCAGCATCCCTCTCGCCTTTGACGACCCTATCGGCGGTGGTTTCCCTCTGAGACAGTACACCCACGACACTCGCTACAACCTTGGAAGTGCTATGCGCCCTGGCGATGTAATCAAGGTCACCCCTTAGATGCCAGTGAAGTCAAAACATTAAGGTCACTTGAATATGACCATGCTCAAGCTCCTTCATCAAGGTCTCGATGGATGGATCAAATTTGGTAAAGCCTTGGGAAATTTTGATCAATTCAGTCACGTATTCTGAACAAGTCGGTTATCATTTAGACAGAGAAAGAGAGTAGCTTTCTATATATCGTCCATCATATATCACCAGCAATTTAACCTGAAATTGAAACACTATTACGTTGTATGTGCGAACGATGTGAATATTGGCGGCAACTAAGACATATCAGACAGCTTCCTTGAGAATACTGGAAGCATTGTTCTTCTTATTTCGTAAAATATCGGGGGCACATGTCCCTTATATCTTTCTATCGAGTGCTGTAACTGATTTTCTTACACCACGAGAGCTGAGTGTTTGTATTATCGGTCATTTTGGTTCGCAAAGTGACATCATTCTTCAATCTCTCGTGACTTTGTATCCTGGTCAGACTAGCGCATGGAGGTTTCGTTGAAAGTAGGTACTTAGTGACCGGAGGGTGTAGCCAACCTTTATGAGTATCTCAAGTTAGCGGCACCCCTCCTGGAGAGTCTTTCCTCACAGGTGCCCCAAAGTTCAATGCTCGCTGCTCTATCCAGGCATACCAGGGCGTAGGAGTTCGCCTCGTTTTTACCACACACAATGCCAATCCAAATGCCCAACAGATGTCTCCAGGCGGCCAGGCAGCCTTGCTTGATGCTGTGAGAAGCATGGTAGCGCCAGCCCAGGGAGGTGTTCGGATAGTAAAAGAAACTCGGTGAAGATTGTCAGACAGGTTGGCTGGAGTGAACGCCATGATGTGCTGGCAATGTGTAGGGCGCACAAATTCCTTCAGAAGCCTTAAAGGGGCTTAGGAGGAGGCAGGAGAATGGGGCTTCCTATCTTGTGGACGACTTAGAGTCATGGCCGCACCTCCGAGTGACCTTGGTGTCTTACTATTTACAGCTCAGAGGGTAAGATTATAGGATTCCAGCACCCCGGGGGCGGTGAGTGCTTCCGTTGTATGTCTGTATCATCAGGAGTCATGAGAGAAGGGGTGTACTTCCACTTCATTCTCGTCCAATACAAGCCCCCCTATTCCAGGTTACCAAAACAAGGCAACTTTCGTATTCCTCAACATTGTCTCGTCCTTCTTACTTCCAGTCGGCATTAGCTCGATCACGTCTGCCTCATAGTGGTAGGTGAGCAGTCCTGTATTAGGGTGGCCGATGTGAACTTCCCATTTGAAGGCTTTTAACGTACTCATTCGGGTCCCGCCCTGCCCTTCATGACTTCTTCCTTGGGGTCGAGAGACTTCCTGAGTAACATCCGAGCAGAAAGCGCAGAGTAACCGCACCATGCCTCTGAGCACTTGCACCACAAGCAGGGCCAATGAGGGCGGGAGCTCCACCCCTCAAGCATCAGGAGGACATGGGAGCCTTTCGGTCGGTGGGAGCAAGCTTGATTTCTTGAGAGGGAGAGGCCGCGTACATGATACAGTGGACTCTACAAAACCCTCTTCACACCCATTCATTTGAAGGTGGCTTTCTTCCTTGGACCCCAAGTCTCGCTCACCCACCATCAGGAAGCTTCGAAATCTAGCGGTGAAGATGGTGAGCCCTCATCATTCCACTCCAGCCTTGCAAGGCCATCCACTCAGCGCTGGTAGCTGTACCGGAGCCCAAGATGGATCGACAGCGTGGGTGTTGCCTACTTCTTTGTTTTGAATGTGCTTGTCTAAAACACTTCCAGATCATCTACGAATAACCTTGTGGATGGCCATTCAAGCCATGACAAGCATGGGTCTGCAGAAATGTGGCATCCTACGCCTTCACTCACTGACTTTGTGGATGCCGTGCAGAGTGCGCATGAGAGGCTTGCAGATCGAAGCACCTCTGGCAAGCAGGCCAGGATGGAAGGGAAAAGTGCGGCTGCAAGCGCGCTGAGCGCCATCCCGGGGTTGAATTCGCTTTTGCAACCTCTCAAGCCATCTGAGGGCACCAAATCTCATCAGTTCACTGGAGGACACAAGGGAGACTTCGCGAAAGGGGGTCGCTGATGCAGCACATCAAATCAGGCTGAGACCACCTAGGCAGGTAATTATTCCACCGGGCCCCAGCAAGCAGAGACATAACGCAAGCGAGCTCACATGGTTTGGCCTACGAACACATACTGACTTGTAGCCACAGAGCATAGATAGTTTTGTGAAGATTCTGTTCAAGGTGCAAGCCGCAGTTCTATTGTTCATGGTCTTTGATGCCATCTACCTGTCTAAGTACTGAGTAGATGGAGCGGAGGCATCGGTTTTCAAGTGGGGGATACGTGGTTGCTAGAATGCAACGTGACTATGGATTCTTGGGGAGGCTCATAATGATGGGTTGGTGTGGTGAGGACACCTTCTGTGGAAAGGCGAGACTCTGCGGCTGTAGACTCCTCTTCTGATAGATGCACCAGGCTCTGACTTGATAGTGTAACGATCAAAATCATTGAGATGCGATTTTCACTACCTGCCTAATTCGCTTCTCCATCGAAGAAACTCGTGCTGTACATCTTGGGTTGCCGCCACTTGACGAGCGGACTGACACGTCGCGGCATACTTTCAAGCTGTGGGCTGGATAATGAAGCCAGAATGAAGCTTGGATGCAGTGGTTTCTCGCTTGTTGGAAGCTCGGCAACACCACCACCGCACATAATGAGGGTTGCATCGACCGAGACAGGCCCCAATTTTCCCTGCCTCTGCAGTTCAGCTATGTACAAAAGGATATCGATAAATGTGATTGATCTGCTTTGCCTGCGTCTTGTCCACAATTCATTTCGGCACGCGAGAATTAGCAGCGGTCGGCCCGCTGCTCCCTTGATACACTGCGGCCCGTTTTCCATAGAAACAACATGGGATTCATACATCGCCGCCGAAGAGGAAAGTCGTAAAAGAACTTGCGACCCACGGACAAAAGCCACCCTCGTTGATCTTGTAACATCCTAGAGAAAAGAAATCCGATGGCATGGCACTGGGGCTTTCCGGGATCAATGATCAACTCTAAGGGCTGTCTTGACTTCAATCTCTTTGGCCATGTCACATCGTTCTACCGATCGAGAACGCCAGCCTGCCGACAGAGGTAAGGATCTCCGAAATCTTGCAGACAGCTGAAGCACCTGTGGCGCTGGAACGCTGGGGTGAGCTAGATCGACAGCTCCCACACGAGCGGCTGTCGTTGAGAAACATGTCTCTACAATGCGGGGAATAACAACTTTCGCGAGAGCTGGATTATCGTTGCTCTGGCCCGAGGCTTGAGGAGAAGGTGAAGACGAACTTGACGAAGATTTGTCTTCCCTCCAAATGCACCGACATGTCAGGCAATTTGAGGTAATTGTCGGTCAGGCAAGACGGCTTAACTGTGCCGTCTGCTTGTCTGCTGTGCCTCCATCATCCACGGCCAAGTCTGATCCTTCTCCTGGTCATCTTGCCGATAACAGCACCGATCACTATTCTCACTTGATCATTCCCGGCGCAAAGAATGGTAGCCATGTATGCCAACTTCGTTCCAAGACTTCTCAATCACAACTTTCTTGTTCGGAAGACTACCCAAAGGCGGGTTTACTAGCCGCCCGACACAACATCAACAGGGAGTACACCTTCCGTAGGATGGGCGCCAACCCAGATCCCTCCACAGCCTGCCGCAAGATCATCTGTTTTGTATCCCAAAATCCAGGTTGTCGGCTGCAGAGCTTACTGAATCCTTGCTATCCTGAGATATTAGACCCCAACGGCCCCAGCTTGTCCCAGGTTATCTTTTCAGGTTCACCTTCGGCCTCCCCGACTCTCCATCCTCCCCAACGGCTCGGCATCGAGGGTATCACGACCTCAAGGGACTCGGTGGTTCTTTTGCAGTGAACCACCCCAGCAGTGGCCGTTATTCTTCTCCGAATCTGCTATACCCTCGAAAGCTCTAGCACCAACAACGAACACAGCTCTTCCATCTGCGGCACAGAACTCCGTTGAAGTTTTGGCTGTGGCTGTGGTCCTGCCTCCAGCGTCATAGCAGCGCAGGCAACCCGGCGGTCCACAAATGTCAGCGTACCGGTGAACACTCGTCTGTCCTGGTGCAACAGAAAAACAGTCTCTCGTCCAGCCGAGTGATTTGGTCAGGGGCTATGGTTCTCTTTGCAAGCGATACCATGTCGAAGAGTCGCAGCAGTCTGCCTCGGCAGTGCTGCCAGTGCACCTGAAAACGAAGCTGTTGATCGGCCCCTTGTTCCGGTATGCCCCCCGTCCCATGATTCTATGGTGCTCTATTCTCTGCATTTTGGGCGAAGCTGACCTATCACCTATTCTGTGATAGCCGCTCCTTATGACACATTCGATTCGAGAAAGCTTGACGACATTCTTCACCGACAGTGGGCCAGGGTTATCCCTAACTTCAAACGACACTATCCTCCATCCATGGCAACGGCCTTTGGCCTTGCTTTATCGATTCGATGTCAAAGCTCAGTACGAAGACCCACGTTCGTGAGGGCTTGAGATATTCTGGTCATGGATAGAGCAGGACGCCCAAGGTTGTCACGGTCCCACGAATACAAATCGTGCTGGTTGTCACTGGCCGAATTATAAGTACGACGGGGATGCATCGTCGACCGGCGACAACGAGCCGATATTTCGCTCAGCATCACTTCAACGCAAATAGCTACGTCGTTGATCACCAAACTCTCGTCTTCGGTTACTACACCTGTTGCCCTCTTTTGCTTCATCTTCAAGAAACCAGCCATGTCATCTTCTATTCAATACGGCGCCGACGGCCGACTATACTACCAGGCAAGCGATGGGCAATGGTATCCCTACACGGAACCATCCTACACGAATGCAAACCAAGTGTCGACGCAGCCATACCATCAAGCCCAGTATGGCGAGCAATGCCCAAGCTATCATCAGCATGAAGACAATGCAGCAGAAGCTGGGAGGTATTTAACATCGCTACCCCTGAGACATACAGATGCGGAACTTACTTACACTTTACCATAGCTTCCATGGAGACTATGACGACGACGACCACACTGCGGCTTCCTCATCTGCTCAAGGTGGACCAAATGAAACTGCCAACTATTTGAAGAAGCAAGAGAAAGAACGAAGACATCGGGAGAAACTGCGGGAAGGTGGTCGATCAACTCGCACTAGGCACAAGAGCAACACCAAGAAAAAGATTGAGGAGACTCTGAAGCCACTCTATAAGAGCAAGTAGGCAACGGACTTCGGCATACCACGGAGGGTTTGCATCTTTGAAGTCTACACTTGAATATGGCGCATCTTGTTTCAGAATCCTCTCGTCTCTAAGTTCTTGGTTGTTCTTTTGTCTCTGTACAAACAGTTTCTAGGATGGGATCACATCATCTTTGTTCATGTCTTTCCTGTACACTGGTGTTTCCTAAGTTTCGTATCATCCACCACCTCCATTATACCTGCACAGCATAGCATCATTGTCTTCTCTTTGGAAATATGGTCAAGCCAACATGAAGGTTTAAACAGAGCCCTACTTTTGATTAGGACATAGGTACTTGGGATGTCACTGGTGGGTCCAGACTGACACACGCCCTCTTTTGACCCTGACCTGGAATCACCTTAGCTCACATTAAATCTCCGACATGACATCACGTCAAACGGCAAATGTCGATCAGGAAACTTGGGATTGAAACGCTGTAGGTTGATTGAACCCGCGTCATACTCTTTACATCTGGCTTAGCAGTTCTAGTGTTCTACAAGTCTAGTTTCTACATCTATAGTCTATACACTCTTTTTCGTCACCCTTCCTCGACTTAGAAAGACACTTATTCGACTCTCGCTCTCTTCTGGCCGTTGCCGTTGGTGTGGCCGTTGGTGCCGTTGGTCTCGCCCTGAGCAGCGAAGTACTCCAGGCTGCCCTTAGGGTCGGCCTTCATGCCCTTGCTGCCGTTCATCCATCCGGCGGGGCAGACCTCACCGTGCTCGTCGGTGAATTGGAAAGCCTCAACAAGGCGGATAGTCTCCTCGACGTTGCGGCCGACGGGCAGGTCGTTGACAGTGATCTGGCGGAGGATACCCTTGGGGTCGATGATGAAGAGACCGCGAAGGGCGACGCCCTCCTCCTCGATCAGGACGCCGTAGTCGCGCGAGATCTTGTGAGACTTGTCGGCGACGAGGGGGAGCTGGAGGTCGGAGCCGAGGCCGCCCTGCTTGCGGGGCTTCTCGGTCCAGGCCAGGTGGGAGAAGTGGGAGTCGGTCGAGACGCCGAGGACGGTGGTGTTGATGGCGCTGAAACGGGGCAGCGCGTCGTTGTACTGGATGATCTCGGTCGGGCAGACGAAGGTGAAGTCAAGGGGGTAGAAGAGGAGGACGACCCTGGAGAAGATTAATGAGTTTAGCTCTAGGTTGTCTCATTTTCGGCACGCCGTTTCGCTATGGCTAGTTCGGCAAGAATCCACATACCATTGCCCCAAGTAGTCGGACAGCTGGATGTCCTTGAACTCGCCGCCGGGGAAGACAGTGGTCGCCTTGAAGGCGGGAGCAGGGCGCTGAACGAAGGCAGTCGAAGACATCGTGACGGCAATAACGTGTATCTTTACGTGATCGGAGGTGGAACGGAGAGGAAGAGAGCTAGCTATTGTGGATGAGATGATAACAGTGTCGGTAGCTTTGCGCCAGGAGGCGGAAATTTTCCTTATCTATGTTTCACTGATTTCAAGCTCCCGACTCAGATCCTGGACGTTGTGGATACCTTCTTTTGCCATTAGGTCCACAGATTGCTCCATGGTCTCATTTCGGCAATCTTCCATTTAACTGGTCATGGCGTGATGCGTTAAAGTGTGCTCACGCGTCGCGTTCTGGTTTTTAAACTTTCGCGCGATAAGGTAAGATAAGTGGGATCAAAGATAAGATCCTCCGATCACCGAGATCATGATCGTGATGATTTTGAGCTTGTGTACTCCATAACATTGACAGCTAATGGGCCTTTGGTTGCGTTATTGAAAACTATACCGCGTAGAGCTAACGAAACTTGAGTGGAACAGCACTCCAACAATAGAGATGGAGAAACCGCTTCCGTTGCGATTGACTGTCAATCTCATTTCCTCCCTAGCCAACGATGGCTTCGAATCAGAAGCTCAAGCAACTTCAGCGTCGACTTCGAACCCGAGTTGACAGTGCCTGCCTTCAGTGACGCTGGTTTTTGTGAGGTTATTGCATGGCAATTCTGGCTGAGTCAGGTAGTAGGCTCATTTTTGTCGAGGTGAACCCAGACCTACAGGTCGGGAGCGCGTTACCCCAAATCTTGGAACCGAAAATGGAGCGTATCTCCAGAGGCCGAATTGAGCATATGGGCGCGCTCAGTCAGTACTTACCAAAGCTCAATGATTGCGTGTAGGCTCTATCATCCTGATTGCTTGAGACTGGAAAAGAATTGATGCCATAGCCTGTTGCTGATGTTTGCTGCTGCTGCTGCTACTGATGATGAAGCATCATGGGCGCTTGCCCGACCAATGAGATTGCTCGGATCTTCTACCGCACAGTATGGCCATACCCAGCTCAAGGGCTGTGATCGCCTTGTCGAGTCTCTGCAAGAAATTCGGCAGCTGAACGCATTGATCTACGGTTACTCATCTGCGAACCCGTTCGCGCGGTGTGGGTTGACGAAATGTCGCTTCCCGTGGGCTGTGATACCAGTGGCTGTCTGGCTGTCTGCAAGGCAGTCTGGTTAGCTGCAGAAAAGCAATGTGTGTCGAGCCGGGGCAGCAACGGAGCATTCCTCACAAGAATGCCCACTTTCTGCCAGCGAACACCCAAGGCCGAATCACCCTTGACCGAATCTCACTGAAAAGCCTTGTAGAGATACGGAAGGTGATGTCTGCCGCGGGTTGACAGCATGGCCAAAGGTCCACCCCCCTCATACCCATTGTGTCCATACCAGTCTTTCTCAGTATGACAACGCAGAATCTCGTATTCTGCTGCGGTGTGGCAGCGTGGCTGATGCTACGCCAGTGTGCAAGACTGACTGACTTAGAATGCAGGTGTCCCAAAAGGAGGGGGGCTTGCATCCCCATCCCATGCCGTAAGCATATGCAACGAAGTATGGAGGGGGTCACTGGGCTCTCGCCAGGCGGTTATCCCATTCTCGGATTACCAGACCTTGATGGGTCCAGGAGGAAATGCCCGTGTCGTCATCATCCAGCCTTGTGTTCCAAACCTCCATGCTTGAACTTCCACATGTTCTCATTAATTGTTGTTGAACGTTGTCTTTTTCGGTTTTTTGGGACCCGTTGGTCGTAAACAATGGTCGAAGTCGACTGTCGAGGGATATTTCTGCAGGCTGGCGAGCTGCGGGCTTGCGGGCGTTTCGCGTAGGTATGTTCCAGTTTCGGTCAGCTGCCAACCTCATGAATTCCGACCCCGCCTTCTGTAAGATATACCTAGGTCATCCGAGCATGTTTGAGCATAAAGGAACACTATTTCCTTGCTCCATTGCGCAAACTATTCATCGTAATTTTGCCACCCCATTTTGTCGTTTGCGATTTGACTTTGTCGACTTCTTACGCTGCCGCATGCTCGCTCGACGGGGCTGTTCATCCCAGGCTGATTCTCAGGCTGACAATGGCCTAACCCCCAATGTTCCTCTCGCTCACTCTCGGGGAAGCCTTCCCAGTACGTGGGTTGGGGCTGTGTACGGCGTAGAATGTGCTATGATGCTGTCATCAGCATCTAGTTCTGAGGTGTCTTGGTGAAAGCAGCAAGCTTCACTGCAGTATCTCTGGGCGTACTCAGCCATGCCACAGCTCAGCCCCTTCTCAAAGGCACGGCCCTTTTCTTCCTCTCTTCTGTTTCTCTATCAAGAGCTTCGGGTGCTCTTTGATGGCAAGCTTTCGGTGCCTAAGGACTGACACCTCTCAACAGCGGCGGCGGTAAGGTGACAGCGTTGCCCGCAAGCAAAGCTAGGCGTCTCCATTGGCCTCTGCGAACCAAGTGCGAACCATTCCTCCGTCTCCACTCCCAAGCCGCCGTTCCTCCTTTCCTCCATGGTAGCCACCGACGGCTTCTTGTTCATCATCGAAACTTTGAACGAGTCAGCTGAGCTTCCGGCGAGCCGATGTCCATTGGTGAAACGGCACCGCTGCTCAGGGGCCTCAGTGTCACTGCCCGGATTCCCAAAAACACCTGACAAGGGCCGCACGGATTCAGCGTAACGAAGAGTCCTAGCCCGGGTTGACGTCCAAAGAAGTGGATAATCAACCAGGGCTTAGCCAGTGGCTAGTGCGATACCTTTGACGATGTCACTGGGTGCGCCGCCGCCGCTGTTGCCTGGGGTCCTCAGTGACTCTCTCTCCCAGACCAAGTCTTTACTGTATAAAGTAGGACGCCCTCTCTGTCAGAGTTACCGTCGACTGAGTCTCGAAGGACGATAACTCAACAACTTTATCAACACTTTCCCCAAGCATCCAGGCGCATCCAAACGCACCCAACCATCTTCAACATGAGCAGCCATAGATCTTCAGACTCCGGTCGGAAATCATCGAGGAAGACCACGACGGCCCCGGCTTCATCGTCGTATGGTCAAGGCCAAGGATACGGAACCACGCAGTACAACGACGGGCCAGCAACCACATCGCAACAATACGCTTATCCGTCCTCGTCATCGACGTCGACGATGCAGCCCTCCTACACTGATAGCTTGAGTCAGCATTCACGGAACAGCTCAACAGGAAGCCCAGGGTAAATTCGTCCCAGCATTGACGTATCTTGGTGACTTGTCCTAACAAAAGAACAGTGGCATGCCGTACATTGATCCCAGGGCCACAAAGGTGGCTTCCAGTCGTCGCGAACGCGCTGAATACGCTCGTGATCATCCAGGCACCGCGCAGCCCCCTTCAGCGTATCGGATCGACCCCAGAGAGCAGATCGCCAACTTCGACCAGAGGTTCCAAGGTCAACCATCGTTCCAAGGTCAACCATCGGCAGCAACCCAGCCGTATCATTCTACGTCCACATACGCCCTCAACCTTGACATCGACTTTCCTCCAAGCCAAAGCCAGAGTCAAAGCCAAAGCCAAAGTCAAAGTAGAAGGGACGACAGACGCGGGGGTTCATCATCATCCGGAAGCAAGCATCACTCCTCTTCGTCTCGTCGTCATAAATAGAGCCTGCTCTGTGCCAAAGCCTGCCTAGGTACGCATCATCGTTTAACACTTGTTCATATCTCTTCTGACTTCTCGTGTATCA